TCTTTATCCATTGTTCTAATTTGGCACTGATTTTAATCTTAATATGAACAAATTGAGTGTTTCATTGTCATTTCAGTCATGTCTGACTCTCCATGATCCTATCTGGGGTTTTCTTGGTAAAGATACCAGAGTGATTTGCCATTTCCTTCTCCAGATGAGGAGCAGCTAGGGGGCGCTACAGTGCACAGAGCGGCGGGCCTGAAAGTCAGGAAGACTCGTCTCCCTAAGTTCGAATCTGGCCTCACACATTTACTAGCTGTGTGACTCTGGACAAGTCACTTATCTTAGTTTGCATTAAGAGAGGTTCAATGTACAAGAGGAAAAGGTCATAGCCTATACACACCAGTGGAGACAAATTCAGCATGTTGACTTAGAAAACCTCAAGTTAACATTATCTATGTTGCATTATCTTTTTATTTATTTTGTTAAACATTTCCCAATTACATTTTAATGAGGTGGGGTCACACTAGAGAGTTTTGTGAGCCTTGGGGCCATGAGTTTGACTCTGCTGGATGCTATACCCTGGTCAGATCACATTTGGGAGTATTATGTGCAGGTCTAGACACCATAATTTAGGGAGAACATTGATAAGGCAGAGAGTGTCCAGAAATGAATAATCAAGATGGTGAGTGGCCTTGAATTCATGCTATTTGAGGGCTACTGGAAGGAATTGAAGATATTTAGTGAAGACAAGAAAAGATTAGCTAAGGAGGGTGGGGAAGGGGTGGGAGGAGGTAGGGGGCAGGGATAAAGGACTGTCCAGTACAAGAGGGATTAGAGGTGTTAGGCATGGCCCCAGAGCTAACTACGAATAATGGGTGGATGTTACAAAAAGGCAAATTTCAGCTTGACCGAAGGAAAAGGTTACTAATGATCAAAGCCATCAAAAAGTAGAATGAATGTCATGAGTAGGGAGGGGATTCACCTCGCCTGTCAGGCTCTCGTCAGGGCCATTTTGAGGGAATGCTTCTTCAGATATGGCTTGGAACAGATGGCCTCTGAGGTCCCTTCCAAAACCGGGTCTTGATAGGGGTGGGAAACCTGCGGCGTTGAGGCCACATGTGGCCTTCTAGGTCCTTCAGTGAGGCCTTTTGACTGAGTCCAAGCCTTACAGAACAAATCCTTTTATGAAGGGGTTTGTTCTGGGAAGTTGGAATTTAGTCAGAAGATCAAACTTGAGGACCTAGAAGGGAACATGTGGCCTCGAGGTCACAGGTTCCCCACCCTTGCTCTATGATTTGATGGCCGAAGTTCAAATCCTGGCCATGCCTCTCACTTAAATCTATGGGATCCTGTCAAATTGTTTAATCTCTCCAGGTCTCAGTTTCCTCATCTGTAAAATGTTTGGCCCAATAATCTCTGAGGTCCCTTCCAGCTTTAAATATCAGAAGCCCATGACATCTCCAAAAATTTTCTTTTCCATTGTTATGAGGTCAGCCATGATTCTCTTAGGTTTCTTACTGAAGTACTGAACTCCATGTGCTGAACTCCATTTTGTTTTCTGACCTTCGCCTTGTATGCCCTTCTTCACAGAAGTAGGAGTTCCCGCCTTAGAAAACCCACCAAGAAAGATACCCACTCCAATCCATTCCATGATCCTTGTATGGTCCCAAAGGCAGGATTAACCAATCGCTTGTTTGGCTTCTGTAACTTCCTGCTTATGGAACCCCTGACCATTTCCTCTGTGGCCTCTGCCTTTATAAACTCAAGCTCTGCCCTGATCGGGGCTGCTTGATTTGGGTGTGCATACCCCTTGCAGCCGCGCGCTAATAAATCCACATTTCAAATTATGTCTGAGTCTCACTCGCTGATTTCTCTGTTCAACATTACAAACAGCCAAAAGTAGAGGAAGCAAGATTTTCATTACTTTACAGCAAAAGAAACAGCTCCTTACTATCGGGAGATCTGGGTTAGAGTATCACTGCTATTAATTACTAACTTCACGACCTTGAGCAAGTCATTTAACCACTGTGGGCTCAATTTCCTCAAATGTGGTTTGAGAATAAGAATATTTGTAGCATGCATTTCACAGGGTTGTTGTGAGGGCCAATTTAAATAATACAAACAATGTACTTCATAGTTGTAAGATGCTACACAAACACAGACTGTTATTGTTACACATAATGGTCTACCTAGATTGTTACTTTCTTGACTGCAATGGCTGTGTCTTTCTATAGGCATAGAAGGGGGTTGCGTGAATTCTACATCCCCTGGGATATTTCATAATCATATATGCTCCCATTGATAAGAGACAGACACAGGGGATGGAGACAGGAAGATTACCACGATGACACTAATGTTTTTCTAGCCTTAACATTCTGACTCAGAATAAAGGAACCTAAATAGCCTTAAAAACATTCTCCCTGGGACATGTGTGTTTAAATGTCACCCAGCTATTTATCTAGTCCAGAAAGCATGGTGCCAATTCCCACATTGCTGGATGAGTCACTGGCATGACACCTGGTAACCTCTATCCTAACTGCTTCATTAATTGGGTACATAAGCCGCACTGGAACCAGACCCAAGAGGATGCAGAAAAAATCCTTGCTTTAGCAGGAGGGTTAAACCAGTGACCTCTAAGGTACCTTTCAATTCGAAGATTCTGTGACTCTAAGATTATATAGGCAGGACGGGGGTGGGGGTGTGTGTCATCTCTTTTTGGCCTCTAGGGCTTGCTGTCTCAGATTTCTACCTAATTCCCTGCCTCATCAGCTTTCCCAGAAAAGGTAAAACACAGCTCACCTCTTGGCCCATGTCTGCCCCTTCTCTCTGACCTTGAACTACTTTTACTATCAAGTGACTGTCATAATCCTAGCTAGTAGAAAATTTGCCTAGATCTTAGGCAAATAATTTCACTTCCCCGGGCCTTAATTGGCCTACATAATTTATAAGGTTTCCTCCTATTTTAAAAGTGTGGAAAAAAAAGTGGAGGGGAGGGGAGAAACCCATATGAAGGTCATATGATGAAAGGTATAGGGAAACAAACCTCCAAATTAAGATACACTCTCAAATTTTAGTTCCAGGTTAGGAATGATCAGTTCCTATAATAAAAGATAACAGACAGTCTTCCTGATGCCAGGCCCAGTACTCTATCTATTGTGCCACTTAGCCGTCCCTCTATTGAGTGTGGTGGTGATTTAAAACAAAACAAAACAAAAAATGCCACTTAAATCCCATAATGTGCAGAGTTCTGAAGTAAGCAGGCAAGCCCCTTTACCCTTGAGAACTTTAGAGTCTAGATGAAGAGACCAGACAATCACAGATGGGAAAGCCACCAATTTCCTATGAAATCAAGATATTCACCATTTAAGTATCCTGATCTATATCTGGCCACTGGACCCAGATGGCTCTAGAGGAGAAAGGGAGGCTAGTGACTTTGCACAGCCCTCTCTCACTTACATCCAATTCACTTGTAAATCATGGCGTCACCTTCCTGATGTCATGGTCTTCTTCGAAAATGAAGGACAAACAACAATCTGATAAAATGGCAGAATAGGACAGGAAAAGAGGCAGTACTGGGAGGAAAGAAAATGTCAATCACAGCAACTTTGGGTTTTCATATGTATGCATATGCACACATTATACACAGTTCACATGCATATGTGCATGCATGTATACTACCACACATATACGCTTGTGCATATGTATACATACTTATGAATTACCTACTTGCCAAATTATCTGCAATCGCCAACTACTTTAAGGCCAATGAATGAATGAATGATGGGGGGGCTAGAATTGTGGATATGCAAGAGATTCTTCACATCCCAGATTTTTGTAGCTAACTTTTCTAATTGCTTTCATACACATCTCTTTTTATATTCAATAAGCCCTTGAAACAGGTTGGATAGAAATGATTAACCCCATATATAGGGGGAAAAAAACCCAAAATGGCCTACAGAAATGAGATTCACATAATCAGTCAATAGCAGAACTGAGCACAGATCCCAGATTGCATGACTCCCACAGCAGGCTCTTTCCATTACAACTAAATGACTTTACACACAAACTATAAATAACATCTCTGCCTTCCTGTCTGAAAACACTCTGGCCACATTTCAAAGGTCATTTAGATGCAAACTGACTTGAATGCCTCCTCCCTACAACCACACTTTAAATGGATCAGGCCTCTGAAATAAATGTTTAATGGTAATAGCTAGCATTTATATAGCCCTTTAAGGTTTGCAAGTCTCAGGGTTGCACAGCTAGTCAAAGTATCTCAGGCCGTATTTGAACTCAAGTCTTTCTGATTCCATGTCCAGAGCACTTAATCACTGCACCACCTAGCTGCATAATGAATGGAATTCAGATCTCAAAAATCTCTGTCTTCTTTCTGGATAGAGATTAATTGGCAGCAGAATTCACCAGGTAGCGTCTAAAAGGATCAAGTATTCAGGTCATTGGTCAATTCTCTTGAAGATATCCTCTTCCTTTCCAACCTCCGTCCAATCCCATCTGCATTGCCAACAGCTGGAAGTGTGACAGTATCATACTTGCCATTTGGCATTCCTAAATAGGGAAGGTTAGTAAGTAAGGGAGAGGAAGCCATGGCATCCTGTGCAAAGAGCTGGCCCCAGAGCCAAAAAGACCTGGGTTTGAGTCCCACCCCTTACACATACTTGGCTGTGTAATCGTTGGCAAACCACTCAAGCTCTCAGTGCCCCCCCCCAACTTTCTAAGGCTTGCAGTCGCAAAGAAGGTGCTGGCCTGTTTTGGTAGAAGGAGATTCCTTTTCTGGGAGTTCCCTATGTCAGTGAAGTCACAGGTCCTGTCCCTCTCTCTCTCCCCCTAATGAGGAGGAGACTATTAGCCTAGAACATGGCAAACAGGTTCAGTCTGAGCAACGGGAGGAATTGTGTACCTCTATAATTTAACAGGCAAATGAGAAGACTCTTTTGCCAGGATGTTACAACATGGGAGAAGTAGGAAGGCATCAGGATCCTATCTTAAATTTTTGCTGAGGGCCAGTCCTAGCCACATTTCTACCAATGTTTCCTTACTTTTTAAACAGAGTAGGGAACTGAAGAATGTTTGCAGATGCCAAAACTCCCAGGACATCCTCCATGTGCACTTCTGTCTCATTGGTGTATAAACTCTTCAGGGCCGTGGCAAAGGCTGTAGGAAGCAAGTCAAAGAGAAAACTGCTTCAGTACAAGGTTCCCTGGGGACAAACCCCTCAACCACCACCATCTAAAGGCCTGCAAATGGGCCCAGATTGTCTTTCACCGCCCTCTTCATTCCAAGGAGGACAGGAATGACTGGAACGTCAGTGAGCAGAGTTCAGTGAAGGCAACTTTTCATCATAAATTTAAATCATTCAGACCCTTATTTGGAGAACCAGGGCAGATGGAAGAGAGGGACTTTGAATTGCTCTCTCTATATCGAATAAATGCTGGAAAGCAGAGATGGTACAAAAAGAGAGTAACTCAAATGTATACCTGACATTTCCTCTTAACCTTGATTTGAGATTCCATGCTGTGAGGTCACTTACTGATGAGGTATTTGGGGTACTTAAATAATCAATTCTCCTTAGATGGAGTTTAAAATGTATTTCCCCCATCCCAAATTTAATAACCTAGTGAACAGCATCATTGTGAAGCTCTGGTGTATTTAATATTCCTTTGGGAATGTGAAAATGTACCCAAGTAGTTCAACCATCAAGCACATCGATTGTTTCCCGTCCTAATCTGATTTCCCAGCTGGCCAACTATCAAAATGGTCAAGTCAAGAGGGTTTATGGGTACAGCCTTGAGATAAGTGATGACATTTCACCAAAAAGACATTAAATTACATGAAAATAAAAGGATTTCCTTTTGATAATGGAAGTGTTAAAATAAAGAATAATCTCAGAGTGGGCCCACTTCAGGCAAGGCTGGAAACTGAATGGCAATGGACATGTTGTTAAGTTATATTAAAGAATAAAGGTGCAGGTCCAAGTAGAGGGATTTCCTAAGTCAAATGTTTGCTTGTTCCCTGGGGGGAGTAAGTTTTTCTGGAGACATCTGCCTGATATTATACCTTTTTGACCCTCCAACTTTAAATCCCATGATTTTTCCTTGCCAAGGATGTCACTTCCATTTTTAGTAAACTTTATGCGCTTATTCATTTTTTATTTTTATTTTTCAGATTAAAAGTAAATTTTTTTTTCATTTTGTGGGCTTCCCCCCCCCTTTTCATCTATTCAGTTCATTTGAATGAATGGATTTAACATTGGTTCTTCATACATACAGAAGTCTGACTCAATGGCATTCTCAAAAAAACAAAAGAAGCAGTTTACATTACCAGTTTTAGTGACTAAAGGATCATTAATCTTCAAGGAAATGGTTATCTTCTTTACTGGAGACATTTTTGGTTGTTCTTTGGGTGATTCAGCTGAGAAATTAAGTGGGACACATGAGGTGAGAACTGTGCAAAATGATACTATTTCAGTCCCAGTCAATGTTCCAAGATACTTTCATGAGAGCCCACCCTCCCCATCCCCCAAGCAGCAGGTAAGGAACCATGGAAGCTCACAAAGCCTTACCACTCTCTAAACAGACTGTCATAGTCATGTGACCTTCACTGCAGATTGCAGAAAGTGGAGGAATATAGCCAAGAGTAGCAACCAGCTTGGCTGTCAAACTGCCCTGCTACCTGTTTGGAGACTCAGGATCATAGATTTTGATCTAGAGAGGACTTGTAAGAAGCCATCTAATTTACCACCCACTTTTCCTTTTTTTATATATGGGGGAACTGAAAGTCACCAATCCAGTTAGTTGGGCCTTCAATCAACAGGCATTTATGAAATACTTACTATGTACAAGCAAGGTCCTAAGTGGTGATGATACAAAGAGAGGCAAAAAATAGTCTTTGCTTTCAAGGAACTCCCATTTTAGTGGGAGAGACTACATGTAAATAACTGGGTACAAATAAGATACATACCAAGCAGATGAAGGTAATATGGCAAGAGCAGCTGGGAGGGACTGGTAAAGTTTTCTTGAAGTAGATGAAATTTGAGCTGTCTTGAAAGCAGCCAAGGGAGCAAAGAGATAGATGTATTGGGGCAGAGTATTTCGGCCATGGAGGGCAGATAGTGCAAAGGCATGAAGATGGGAGATAGAATATGTTCAAGGTCCTGTCAGTGGGCCAATGCAGCTAGATTGTAGAATACATAGAGGAGATTAAGTTGTAAGAAGACTAGGTAGGATTAAATTTGTGAGGAGATTAAGAATGAGGAGTTGAGGATGACACTGATGTCAAAGGCTTGGGTAACTGGGAAGATAGTGGTGCCCTCCACAATAATAGGGAAGTCCAGAAGGGAAGAGGGTTTTGGGGGAAAGATATTATGTTCTCTTTTGGACGCATTGAGTTTGTGATGTCTGTAGGATTTTCTAGTTTGAAATGGCCAAGAAGCAGTTGGAGATGCTCCAAGCTCTGCAGAGACACTAAGGATACATATATATGTATGTGTGTGTATGTGTATGCATGTATGTAGGTATTGTGCATGGAGCAGGTGCTCAAAGTTAATCAGTGTTTAAAACACCAACATTTAACAACCGAATTTACAGACTTGCACCTCCAAAGGTGTCCATCTCCTAATAACTTCCAACCACCAGCTGATTAGACAGCAAGCAGAAGTCAGAGGCAAAAAAGCCAGTCAAATCAGTCTGGATGACTTAATAGGTTAGATCCAGCAAAAAGTCAATTCAATTCAATAAACACTTATTAGGCAGACACTATATGCAAGGCCTGAGGGATAGGAAATGAACGAGAAAGTCTGTCTTTAAGGAACTTAGATTCGACACTGAAAATAAAGTTGTAAGGCACCTTAAAAGCTACCAATTTATTAGTACTATTGTTCTATTTTTTTTTCCTCCTTTCAAATTATTTGGGAGAGGGAGGCATAGTGCAGGGATTCTTAACCTGGGTCCATGAACTTATTCTAAAAAAAATTTCAATAATTTAATTTCAATATAATTGGTTTCTTAAGTATTTTATTTTATGCATTTTAAATTATTTTGCAAAGAGGTCCTTAGGTTTCACTAGACTGACAATGGAGACTTATGGAAGCAGAATGGAAGGGAAACAGTTAAATTGGGGGTTTCTAGGACCTCTGCGAGAATCATAGAACTAAAGATCTAGACTTTGGAAGGGCTCTCGGAAGCCATTGAGTCCAACTCCCTCATTTTTACAGATGTGGAAACAGGTCCAAAAGCTAATTGACTTCAACAAACCATCATTCCACAGTTATTTATCTATACAACTCAAGGGAATTGTTAATGCTAGTATAGTATTCCTGATGGAGTAGCCTGTTTCTCCCCAAAGGAGCAGTAATAGCTCATGATGTGGGAATCCATGGCTCTCTTTCCCACTCTTCATCAGAGTAATGTGGGGACTCATTCTCTGAGGACATGAGGTAGAAACAGTAGGCTAAGCACCTCCAATGACCTGTCTGGCTCAATCATCCCAGAGCTTTGCTGTCTCCTTCCTGAAATACAACTCGAGTCCTACAGCACGTTGGTGGACTTCAGCGTCTGTGGGTTTTCCAGGACACCTGCCTCTCATGCTGGGCATGAGGCTGTGCTGCACAGTGTCAAAGGGCAGTGCATGGCTACATGTGGCCAACTGGGGATCCAGCTAACTGTGGAGACAAGGGGAGGGAGTGGGGTTGCTACTTTTTGAGTGATGAAAATTTGATCAGCACAATTTAGGCCTCCAGACCCACAGACACAAAAGGCAGAATGCAATTCTATAGTCAGCGTTTCATAGATCTACACATAAATCATTGAGATAAAACATGGTACACTGGAAAGGACCCAAATTTGAGCTTCAAAAGACTTAGGTTTGAGCCTTATCTTTGTCATTTGTTAGCTTTGTTACTTCACTTGCCTACCAAGGTTTTTGTGAGAGTCAAAAAAAATTACAAAAGAAAAGCATTTTGCAAACTGTAAAATACTGTACAAAATATAAGGTGAAGGGAGGGACAATGTGGTTTGGGAATGAACCGAGAGCTGGATTCTGAGCCAGGAAGACCTGAGTTCAAATCCTTCCTCTCACAATGCCTGACACAAGGTAAGAGCTCAATAAATGCTTGTTAATTGACGGAGTGAGTGACTGACACAAACAGGTTGAGTGACCCTGACTGACTGTCTCATCTAACCTCTCAGGGCCCTCAGGAACTATCCAAGACTATAAGTTAAAGGGAAATTATCGAACTGAATTAGTAGAGAGAATTTCCTTCCCAGAAACTCCTTACATGGGTGAAATTATAGGTCCAAACAAAAAATTATTGGTAATTTGTCTCTCAGCTGCCTAAGGGAAATGTCTATCCTAGAGCCCTCCTGCTTCTATAAAACTTTGAGTACCGCACCCTACTTCCCCCAACACACGAACATGCCACCATCTCTAAAACAGTACAATAGTGGGCTCTTGGATCAGATGCTAAGATACCTCTCAGAAGTTTCTCCAGTTCTTTCAGGGGGTCTGTGTTCTTCTGGGACAGGGCAAATATGTAGAGCTTGGTTAGGGTCCCTGAATGGAAGAGCTGAGGTTGATGGAGTTCCCATTTGAAGCCCATGCAGTCAAGTGTCACATCTGAGGGAAGAAAACCATTTTGAGCAAAGCATTCAACAACATTTCTGGCTAGAATGGTCGAAGGAGCAGCCACGTAAGGAAAGAACCAACGTGAGGACCTTTTCTCATTCCTTATCCTTCTTGCCCTCTTTGCAGTATTTGGCACTGTTGATTCTTTCTCCTGGGTACTGCCTCCTTGAAGACTTTCATGGTGTTGCTTTCTCCTGATTCTCTTCCTCCCTGTCTGGCCGCCTGCTCTCTTTCTTTCCTTTCCTGGATCTTTATCCAGGTCATTCTCAGTAACTGCGGATATCACCCTCCTCTATTTTCTCTTTAAATCTCTCTTCTAATTGGTCTCCCTGAACTGTCTCAACCTAGGACTGATGTAGGGCAGATAGGTGGTGGCAGCAGATAGAGCACTGGGCCTGGAGTCAGGAGGACCTGAGACACTTATTAGCTGTGTGACTCTGGGCAAGTCACTTAAACCCTGTTTGCCTCAGTTTCCTCATCTGCAAAATGAGCTGGTGAAGGAAATGGAAAACCATTCCAGTATCTTTGCCAAGAAAACCCCAAATTGGATCATGAAGAATCAAAAATGACTGAAACGTGAAATGAATGACAACAACATTACTCATGTGGATTTTCCCCTAGAGGGCTCAGATAACCAACCTGAGGCAGTCAGGAAAATTTCCATCAGAGGCATCATAGTATAATGAATAGAGTTCTAAGTTTATCATCAGAGAATTTAGGTTCAGATCCCAACTCTGCCATTTAATATTTTTGCAACTTTGGGCAATTTGCTTAACTTCTCTGGGCCTCAGTTTTCTCCTCTGTAAAGTGGGGGATTTAGAGTCGATGCCCTCTAGGTCCTTTCCAGCTCTAGATCTATAATCCTATGACTTATTTATGATCCTTACCAACTCTGAGATTTCATCTATATAAGCCAATGACTATGACTAGAAGACTTTTGAGGTCCCTTCCCACCCTACATCCATGGTCCCAGGCTACTCATGGGAATTAATAGCTGTTGCTATCCTCTTGCTCTTTGCAAGTTGTTTTTTTTAGTAAGTGTGGGTGGCCCCCCAGCTCATGGGTGGTTGTTGTTCAGTTGTTTTATTTGTGTCCGACTATTCATGACCCTATTTGGGGTTTTCTTGGAAAAGAAATTGGAATGGTTTGCCATTTTCTTCTCCAGCTTATTTTACATATGAGGAAATTGAGGCAAACAGGGTGAAATAACTTGTCCAGGGTCACAAAGCTAGTAAGTGTTTGAGGCCAGATTTGAACTCAGGTCTTCCCAACTCCAGGTCCTACACTCTATCCACTGTGTCACCTAGCTATCCCCACTCGTGGGACAGATACCTAAATGTCTGTTCCAACAGCTGCCAGTAAGCAAAAGTTTTCAGCAAAAACTTCTTACTTGCTAGGGAATGAATGAGGAGGAAGAAGTAAGAACTGGACAGGAAACTAAAGTGAGGAGAGGAGAAAAACCCAAAGTCAGGGAAGGACAATGGTAGGATGACATGAAAAGGCCAAAAATGTATTAGCTCCAATGTTAAAACCAACTGGGAATTTTCTAGGTAAAAATAGGACTAAAATTCAAAGCTTTAAAATCATAAATATTAAAGATTTGAAATCAATGTAAAAAGTTTTCATGTGTCAAGAAAATAGTTGCCTTATGTATGAAATGATGGTGTTAGGATGGAAGGCCTCTAGAGCCCTTGTTAATTCTAATTTCTACAACTCTCTCTGAATTCCAGAGGTCACATTCTCAATCAGCCCCAGGAAGAGGTGATATCTCACAGGACAATTCCTGAGTCTGTTAGGGAGCGCTTTCAGATCTACTGCCAAGTCAATTCATTTCAGTCCAACCACCATTCATTGAGGCCTAGAGTGTCTAAAGCACATGCTAGGCTCAAAACACTAAAGAAAAAAAAGAAAACACTGTCCACTTTCAAGTTTATATTCTCCTGGCAATAACATCCTTCCGACACTTCTACGTTTTCCTTTTTCCAAGAAACTGGGAATGAAAAAGAAAATAACTTTTCCTAGACTTACTGATTAAAAAACAAACAAACAGCTTTCACCGGGTTCTGTTTTTAGCAGACTTGGCCCTTTTTAAGTATCTCACTGCACGTTTACATTTGGCCTTGTTTCACAGTCCCTACCAGGGTAGGGCAGCAGAAGCTTTGTTCCTATTGCTCTATTAGCCTGAAAGCTTTTTCTTTTTAATTCTTTTAAAAAATGTTCAGTTCCAGATTCTTTCTCTCTCCCCACTCCCTCCCCCAGTCGTTGAGAAGGCAAGAAATACAAAACTCATTACAAATATGAAGTCATGCAAAAAGACTGAAAGTTCTTTCAGAGCTGGGACCTTGTCTAGTTCATCTGTGCATCCCCTACAATGACCAGAATGATTTACACATGGCTGGTACCCAACAAATATACATTGAGTGAACTAACAAATACCCACATCACACACAAGAATGGAGTCCACATCATTAGCCATGTGAAAGTAAGTAGTATGTTGTGGAATGACAATCATTTACATTCATACAGCCCTTTAAAATTTCCAAATTGCTTTCCATATTTTGTCTCTTTTGATCTTCAGAACAGCCCTCTGAGGTAGGTAATGCAATTGTTATCCCCATTTTGTAGATGAGAAAACTAAGGTTTGATGATATTAAATGACTTTTGATTCATTGAAGGTCACACTGCCAGCTCTAAGTGCTGAGGTCCTTACCAACTCTGAGATTTTATGAAAATTCTGAGTTTCATGCTCTTTCTAATACCTAAGTCAAGAGGCAATATGAATAGTGTCACATCTTTCAATTCCTCATTGCTTGGTTTCCATTTCTCTTCTGTCTCTACCTTCCTCCTCTGTTCATTTGCATAAGCTCACATCTGAAAGAAGCCTTCCATACTTAGGATCCTCATCTTGTTCCAAGGCTCAGCTCAGGCCCCACCTTCTTAGACCAGCCTTATCTGATTCATCTATATATTCACTTATCTTTGTACTGGTTGTATTCTCCCAATAAACTCCTTGAAGGCAAGAACTATTTTCATTTCTGTCATGGTATTTCAGGTTCCTAGCACGTAGTAGGAACTTAGTGTTTGGTGAGTGTAATTCACCAGAAATGTGTGGGACTTTTTGTGGAGGTAGGAGGAGAGAGTGAAGAGAGGAAATGGAGAGGAAAAACTTAGGAAGACAGAAGATGAGGGAAATCTAGGGTGTGTTGGCTGAGTACAAGACTCGGATCCATCACAACCTAATGGAAAGAGTCCTGGGTGGAAGTCAAGAATCGTATGAGCTTGAGCAATGAACTTAAGTCATCCAAGCTTCAGTACCCTCATCAGTTAGATGAGAATAGCAATCTCTGCCCTATCTCAAGAGGTTGTTGTGAAGATAAAATACTAGTTGCAAAAGCACTTTATAAACTCTAAAGCTCTCTATAGATGTAAGGGATTTTAAATGAGGATAATAAAGGGCAGGGTACAATAATCAATGAGTGGACCAAGTACAGGTTTATTTAGGCAGCGTCAATATCCCAAACAAATAAAATTTTCATAAAATCTTAGGAGCTGTGTTATGGGAGAAGTATTTCCTCCCTGAGTTCATGTGGTTGATAACCGCTGCCAAATAGATATTTACCACAATGCAGAAATTATGGAGGTAAAAACCTAGGTTTTTATATTATGCTCAAGATAGGTTCAGACCTCAGAGAAAACTTGAACAACTCTGCAGATACTCAGATACTCAAAGACAGGTGTTCTCAACTCCTCTGTGTGTGTGTGTGTGTGTGTGTGTGTGTGTGTGTGTGTGTGCGCGCGTGTGCATGAGCATGTCATGGACACCTTTGGTAATCGGGTGAAACCCAAGAACCCTTTCTTAGAATAATGTTTTTAGATGCAGAAAATAAAATATGTAAGATTACAAAAGAAACCAATTATAATGAAATACAGTTATCACAAAGCTTTTTTTTTTAAAGTTTATGGATCCCAGGTTAGGAATCCCTGCCTAAGAAGATTTTATATTAGGAAGAAATGTCTAGCTCAGATCTTCTGTCACGCGATGGCTATAATCATAGTGATGGATAAAGGAATAGAGCATTCACTTAAGTTTTGTTATATGGGCAGGAGCTGAATTAACTATCCTTCACAGGTCTTTCTGAAGCCGAACTTGCTTTTCCTTATTGGATAGGAATTCTTATTAGTTATGACCTAGTTCCAGATTCCTTTGCAAAAAATCCTTAGTAAAACACAGACATACAGTTCATATCTCAAAACTAAACTCTTGCTAATAGCAAAAGTGAGGAAAGGATAATTAGCATATTATAAATGGTATTTTGATTAAGCTGTCCCTTCCAAAGGAGCACTGGTTGTGGATTATCGATAACTTGCTTGTGTCTATAAGCACACGAAAACACATTTGTCAGATTACTAATAGGAAATATAGATTCACTTTCATGAACTCAGGACCCCATCTACACATATAGGTATGTAGTAATATAAATTATTCATGTCACTGGAGATAGGGACTTACCTGCCACAGTGCCGTGTTTGGGTTTTGTTTTGATTGCACCAGTTAAGATTTTCTGAAGTTGTGGAATATGTAACCTTAGGAAGAATATTTTTTGAAAAACCCAGGAATTAATATTGACATCTACTTTGTAAAGGCAATCTATATCATAAATCATTATCATATCTTCATCATCTAAAACTAATATGATCCTATAATAATAATAATGATAATAATAATAGATGGCATTTAATGTTAATAATAGTGACTTACATTAATATGACTTATTTGCAAAATGATTTCCTTATGACAATGATGTGAGATAGGTTGTCCAACCACTATTTCCATGTTACAGAGAAAACCAAGGATAGGGAGGCTAAGTGGCTTGTCTGTGGTCACATAGCTCCTAAGTACCAAAGCTGGCATTTGACCTTAGGTCTCTTGTCTGTGAAGAATGGTAATATTTGTGGTTTACAAAGCTCTTAATAGACATCATCTCATCTGAGCTTCACATTAACTCTTTGAGGTAGATAGTATATTATTGTCACTTTATAGATAAGTAAACTGAGGGCTAAGTGACTTGCCCAAGGATATCTAGCTAGTAAATGTCAGAGGCAGGATTTGAGCCTGCCTCTATATTGGGTACAAGTTCCCCCACCCCCCGCCATCTATCATTAGGGCACAAGTTTCCCTGTATCCTCTGTCTTTTTGAAAGCTGACATGGAAAAGACCTCAATGTCTTTATCTGGGTCTTCAGGATATGATCGGACCTCATCAGGCAGCCATTGCAGGCACCAGAGTAGCATTCTACTTAATGGTACCGCATTCTATGAAGTGGTACCACCCAAGGTGAACTGTGTGGTGTGTTGGTCACCTGCCATCATCATCATACTGAATGAGTTAGTAGTTGAGAAAAATATGATACACAAATCATATCTACCCACCCCCAACACCTCTTAGGAAAATAGAACCAGTAGAGACAGCCAAACAACCAGTATTAATGAACACCCCGGAAGATTTACTTAACTAAGTCTGGCTATGTCACATCGCTGAAGTTCATGGATGGAAATTATAATGAGAGCCAGTGACCAACTGGAATGGTATTGATATGTTGTCCTTTCTAAGCAAAGATGACGTTCCTGATTCATCATCTGCAGGTTTTAGCCTTTGAGGTATTTTCTTACCAGTGGAGATGGATTTACCTAGGGCCAACTGCACTCTTATTCAGCTCACCTTGGAGCTAAGGTCACACATTTTCAAGGTAGCTGGCAATGATTGAAAGTGCAGTCTGTGACTACAAAACAGACCAGAGCTCTCTGGAGAATTCAAGGATTAAACACATGACCCCACTAGTACTATAATCTAACTGAGCTAGAGGGTCACAGTTATAACATGAGTTGTCACATATTGACTTATCTCCCAATCACAAAAGCAGCCGGGGCATGATTTCTTGCTTGTGTTAGGGTTTTTGAAGAATCTAAACTCTCAGGGTGAACCATTTCAGTGCCATTAAAAAGAAATGGGCTTTGCTTCTTATCCTTAACAATCGGTAGGTACTAAGTGGGATTTAATCATAGCTAAGATGGTGGATAGGCATGTAGGCTTGTAAAAGCCTGCAGGAGCAAAGGGAGAGAATAGACAGAGTAATGAATTTGGAACCAAAGGATCTGGCCTCAAATTCCCAACCCTGCCATTTACTAGCTCTGGGATCCTGGGCAAATGACTTCACTTCTATGCCTCAGTTTTCCTCTCTATAAAGTGAGAGGCCTGGACTCACTTATCTTATAAGTGTCTTTTCTAAAACAACATGTAATTGGTTAGGTGGTCCCTAAAGGTCATCTGGCTCTTAATTCTATGAGCTATCTTATAGTGGTTCCTGATTTGTACCCTAATTTTGCTGGCCATCATTCTGAACCATAAAAGCTTCACCCATGGGAAAAAGAAAGGGTCTATGAGGTTGTGATGGGCCTTATAGAATACCACTAGACGGCCCATTTAGAAGATCTTTTTTTTTTCCTATAACATTTGGAATTCATAGAGTTCTGAAATGTCATGGGAAGTCTCTTATTCTGTCAAGAATTTTATATCAGAAAACAGTTGCTAGGAGACCTGATTCTTAAATATTGTGCTGGCTATACATATCTTTTCTTCTAAAACCTCAGTTTGCAACAGGCACCGACTAAGAGACTCGATGTTCTGTTCATTACCTTATGCCCTGCTCACAGGCCCTCACTTCCCCATTTGTTAGTGCCTTGTCTTTTTAGGAAGTAGGTGAAGGAGACAATTATTAAAATCAATTTTTTTTAAAAGTCAGGAAGGGTTGAAAGTCAAAGAGCAAGACGAGCTATTTGTAAGCTTTTCACCTTCTGTGCCTCAGTCCCTCTGACAAATTCTGAATTTCTGTCACCTCCCAGTTCTCCAGCTCCCTCTGACTTCCCCATGTTTTTCACATTTAGTGGCAAAACATGGATCTGTTTACATAAAAATCACCACCTCCCAGTTCTCCAGCTCCCTCTGACTTCCCCATGTTTTTCACATTTAGTGGCAAAACATGGATCTGTTTACATAAAAATCACCTTATCTCTGAGGATATGCAATAGTTAGCTGATAAGAAATGAGTTTTCTCAACTTCTTCCCTTGCTCCTCTCCACATATTAAAATGTGTGAATAAAAGCTAAGAGCCAACATGGGATAGCTGATTTACAGGTGAGTGACTAAGATGAAGAAAAAGTCATATAAACAACTGGTCTCACACATCCCTAGACTTACCAAAGGCAAGTCTGTCTCTGTTGGCTATGTTATCATCCATTATACGTTGATGTGGCCAGTGAATTAAGAAGTAGAGAATCTGAAGAATGTATTATTTGGGTGAGATCAGTGGTCTAGGACATCCTGGAAGATGAAACCTGTGTGAGCAACCACTGACACTACCTATCTGCTCATTCAGTCTTTCTTGCTGGTTTACCATCCATGTTTGCCTCCATAAATGGGGTATCCCTTAAATTTCTGTCCTGGGCCATCTCTCTCTCTCTCTCTCTCTCTCTCTCTCTCTCTCTCTCTCTCTCTCTCTCTCTCTCTCCACACACACACACACACACACACACACACACACACACACAAAGTATATACTCTTTCTTTTGTTGTTCTCATCTGTGGCTTTGATTATCTGTTGACAGTAGTCAAGAGTCAGTGAACTCTTATTAAGCACCTACTATGTGCCAGGCTTTGGGGATACAAATAAGAAAGGCAGTCCCTTCCCTCAAGGAACTTAAAATATAATGGGGGAAGACAACACACAAAAGGAAGTTGAAAAAGGGGCAATAGTGGGCTGGATGCCAGAGAGTACCAAACAGAGCAGCTGGTGGGAAATAAAGTTAGCTGGGACAATCTGAGACCTCCATAAAGGGAGACTTTGAGGGGAGTTTATTGTCTTGCCCTCCAGCCCTCCAATCAGAGAGGAGAGGCAGTTCTGAGGGTGCTGAGGAGGTGTTGAGAACTGAAACTGAGTCAGTCCCCATGATGATGAGATTTCAGGTGATGAGCCAATCCTGGGGGGGCATGGTGTTCCTGGAGTCAAAACCAAGCAGACCAGCTAATGGGAAATGAAGGACTCCTAAATCTCATAGCCAAAAATATGTAGGCAGTCCTGATCTTTGTTCATTAAGTTTGGTCTTGCATCTCCACCTGGTTGTTCTGCCAATACCTTAGACTCAACATGTCCAAAATGGAAATTATAACTTTCCCCCTAAACCTTTCCCTCCTGCACATTTCCCTTTCCGTTACAGTCATCCAGGTTTAAAACCTCAGTCTGTTAAAAATTCCTCTCTTTCTTCCAATTACAGTTTTCCATCATTTGTCAATTCCTCTTAATTCTACAGCCACAATATCTTTCACATCTGACCCTTCCTCTTTACTTCACCCTAGTCCAGGCCCTCATCACCTTTTGCTTGGACTATTATAATTGCTCTCAGTCTTTAGTCTACTCTGGCCAATCCATCCTTCACACAACTGCCTAAAATCTTCCCAAGGCATAGGCTTAACTATGCCCCATTCCCCTACCTCACAAAACATTTTCAATGGCTCCCTACCACTTTTAGGAAAAACTGGTTTTTAGCTTTGCTTTTAAAGACCTACCAAAATCTTACTTCAACCTAATTTTCCAGCTTTATTTCATGTTATTGTCTTCCCTATACTCTCCATTGCAAGAAAACAGTACTACCAGTGGCTCCTTGATATGCCATCACCAGGTCATGGCAAGGCTGGAATTAAAGCTTTCCTCATCTTTGATGTTCAGTTCTTTATCTTCTGAAGCTCAATACCTCCTCACTTTCTGTGATTAGCATTCCTCAATCTTTTCAGTTGATCAGGCTTTTTCCATCCTTAACTTTTTCTAAAACACTTTGCCTGATTTCTTCTTTGCCCTTCTAATACTACCTCACATTCCAATTATCTGTATATGTAGCGCATCTTTCTAGTACAGCATAAGCTGCTTGGGGACAGAGATGGTTCATTTTTGGTCTTTGTACCCCCATCACCTGACATAGTAAACATACTCAGATGGATCTGGGATCTCATTAATGTGAATTTAATGAGCTTACTGAGATGTGGGCTTAATTATTCCTTTCAATGCAGGGAACAATCCATTCATGCCTGACTACACTATGAAGCCCTTGTCCATGTCTTCTAAGTTGTCCATAAGGAATTCATCCAAAATTCTGAGGGCCTTCCTCACTCTCTTCATATTGTGAGGATAAAAGCAAAATACCCAGGCTGATCAGTAACAGTCCCTCACTTGTGATGTGGCAGAGAACAAAACCCAGAACCGAAATAATTTAGAAAAATAGTTTATTAAGTCATCAGGCAGAAAGGAGAGCAGAACAGGGGGTGGCTCACTGACTCTCCCTGCCTCCCCACATTTTCTGTAAGTTATACATTAAATAGGATTTTAAAAAAGAGCAAGGAAATTGTAGCTGATTGGCCAGCACAGAGGTAGTTTCTAGATAAGATACATAGGTTGCCTGAGATTTATGGCAGGAGAAAACTCCTTACATTAATCTTTGGATCTGAGAGGTTTCTGGTCAGCACAACTTAGATCCTGGGTTAAGCACTAGGTAAATCTTGTCTCTAAGCAACAGTTCTGGTTTCTCAGCCACGTGGGGCCAGTTTCAAACAATGCAATTAAGTTTTCCCACATTTGCACTCAGAATCTTCTTTGTTGGTCATTTGATGAGTTCTTTTATTTTAATTCTTCCTCATAATTCCTTCTTATGGGTTGCACGATGCGCCCACCTACCATGCACCTCTCCATTTCTCTCTGAGGGATATTCATTTTTCATTCACTTGAAGACCATAGACATGACTCACAGCCATACAATAGCAATGGGATGTTAGTATTAAAATATAAGCCTTTGTCAAAGGAGAACCGGGGGGTTATTAAAGGAGTTTTTCAGTTTCCCAAAGAAAATCCTACCTGTCCTTCCCCTGTTTAATTTTGGTTCCAACTCATCGTCCATTTGCAACATCTGATATACAGCCTACTGGATGTACATTATAGGCCACTTGTCAAACTGCAGCTCTGAATGTGGGAGATAGCTATTCTTCAAACACTTGGTGTTTCCCATGTGGATAGTTAGACCACACTTTTTAGAATGGTTACTGATCCCTTTCAGGAGGCTCTGCAATGTTCTGGGGATTCATACAACCAGAAAAACATCGTCGTCATCAAGGAGCATCTGTAGGACCTTACTATCTATGAGAATTCTCGTTCTAGCTAGACAGTGCTGTCTCTCTTCCATGACCATGAAGGCAAGCAGATGTCTCTTGGTTTTATGCCTTGCCTGATATTAATGATCAGAGAGTCATCAAACAAGGCTACCTTTGTTTTAAGATTTTTGCATAACTGTACTGAGGAATAGTTCGCATGGCGGACACCTTGTTGGAAAAGAGCCTTTAAAGTAGTACTTTTCTCTATTGAAATAAAAGCTTTTTTAGAATCAACAGTGAATACAGTAGGATTTCATATCCTAGACATCTCTCAATTGGTCGAGTGATGGTGAAGATGTGTTTGCCTATGGAATATGACTTTGGAAAATCTGTTTCTTTATTAACATGCTCATCAAGAATAACAATAATAGATAATGCTTTAAAGTTTGCTAATCACTTTACAAATTTTATCTTACATTATCCTTAAAACAACACTGGCAAGTAAGGCACTCTTATTCCCATTTTACAGATAAAGAACTGAGGCAGTCAGAGGTTAAGGGACTTGACTAGTCATACAGCTAGTGTCTGAGAGGATTTGAATTCAGATCTTCTTGACTCCAAGTGCAAGGCTCTATAAGTATGCATATCATTTTCATAAAAAGTTTATATGGATGGTAAAGTAAGCATATCCTTTTTTTGGGGGGGGGATAATGATAAGATCTTCCACTTTCCACATCTTCAGTATTTTCCCCATTTTCAGATTTCTTTTAAATAGGTCCCTCAACACCTTTATAATCATGTCACCTCAGGAGTGGCTCTATCTCCTCTGTTTACACTTGATGTAATTCAGTCACTTTTCTCATTTTTAGTGACATTTCTATCTCCTCCAAAAATAATTCAAGATTGTGCTGTTACGGTCTCTGTATGGTAGATTCACTTTCCTAAATGGTGAAAATAATATGTTATATAAATCTTTGCATATTCTTAGCATCCTTCTTTTGTTTTTATTCTCCTAGTTTTATCCTTGACTACTTTGGGGATGACATTCCTTGATGGGTTTCTAGATATACTTTCTTTAAACTGGTTTTCACCCTCCTATATTTCTTTAAATTTTGTGAGTTGATACATTCCACAATCTTCCATGATCCTCCCTAAGATTTTATAAACAAGTTTATCATCTAAAAGTGTTGCCTTCCATTGTCATTTCTCTCGGGGTGTTAAGGAAGTCAAGTGTTTGAAGATTAAAGTAATATGGGAGATCTTTTGGCCTCCCTAGCTAGGGCAATTGATTTCTATTGGTTAATCACTTGTATGATATTACTGTCATTGGTGACTGGGTTATTTCCTTTGTCATTTCCCATTTTTTAATCAACAACTTACTTCATAGGTTGGGTTGGGGTGATTTTAATCACATGTAATATATTTTCCTATTTTTTATACTTCTAGCGTTGTTCTAATTTTGCTCTTTGCCTTAACAACTCAGTGGTCTAAAGATACATTTAGGAATGACTCCCACATCAGTAACAAGTCATTTCTAATCTTCAAATATGCCATCAATTTCCCTTTTTGTTATTTTGACAGGCTGACAGACAGAACTAGGAGCGGTCTCAGAGGCTATCTAATCCAATTTGCTCATTTTAGAAATGAGGAGGGGCAGGTAGGTGGTACAGTGGATAGAACACTGGCCCTGAAGTCAGGAGTACCTGAGTTCAAATCCGGCCTCAGACACACAACACTCACTAGCTGTGTGACTCTGGGCAAGTTACTTAACCCCAATTGCCTCACTTAAAAAAAAAATGAGGAAAATGAGGCCCAAAGGGGTTAAATAACTAGCCCAAGGTCACATAGGTGCTAAGTAAAACAGTCAAGGTTATAAATCAGGTCATTTGACTCCAAATCGAGTGTATATCCCATTATAAAACTTGTGTCCATGATATTCAGCACCTTCTGATTCTTTTCTCAAAGAAAGTTTTTATGATATGGAGGTATGAAGCTTTCATGGTCTGTAAGTCTTTGATCTCTCTCATTCCTTATTCTCTAATCATATTTTCCAACATATTTCAGTCACCCTCCCCTATTCTCACCTTTTTAGTGAAGTCATGAAGTATTTGTTGATTTAACTAGAAGGGTCTAACTGAGCTCTTTGTAGGATTTCTCTGCCTCTACATCCTCTGTGGCTTGTGTAGGTGAACAGACTTCAATTATTTTCATGGTAGCCTTCTGGCAACCATTCTTCAATGCAAGATGACCCCATGAAATGATGTTTCTTTGTGCCTTTGGATGTGCCCCACCAATGAACTCCACCAAACCCTTCATTTACCTCTCCAAGAAGATCCTATGCACCAACTTTCCATTTTGCTGCAACTTTCTGTTGCTATCTTGTTGGTTTCAATTATAGTGAGAATGCCAAGATTTCTATGATTCAATTCTTCCAGTAGGGTGTCTACTCACTGCTGATTAAACAAGGAGCTCTCATTTAGAGTACTAACAGCTAAGTTAAAGTTTTTAGAAAGTCTAAAACTGCTGCGAATTTTAGTATCCCTAGCCCCTGTTTGCCACACTGTCACGTAGAGTTGGGGGAAAGTTACAGAAGACTGAGGACCATTTTGTATTTTTTTTAGGTTACCATAGCTAAAGAATCCATCAGCAACTGGTTGGCTGTTGCCTTCCTACTGGGGGAAAAGAGAGCCAAATCTACCTGATTTGGCTACCAGGAAAAGAAAGGAAATAGATATCCTAACATGAGAGATCATATCTATAGTTCTCTGTACCCATGGATGGTGTACAAAGGCAGGGGAACCTGGGAGATTAGGGATGTTAGTGCTCAACATTCTACCACCAGGAGCTTCACACAAGGGTGGCTCCAGTTTCCCAAATGGGCCTCCACAGTGTGAACAAAACAAAATTTAAGTTCTGATTGGCTAACAAGGCAGATGTTTACAAGAGAAGAGCCCTTCTGTGTGATTACTGAGCATCAGCTGTGCTATAAAACCCTATAGCATCCAAAGTTCCATGTGTCAAAGAAATGTTAACAGCCTATTTTGAGGGCATAGCTAGACTATTTTACTCCGAGGCTTTACCATTGCACCCAAATAAACCTAAAAGAAATAGCTACATCAGGATTTCCGTAGGTACATCTTAATTTGCCAAAGCAGGACTAGAGCACTTCTCAAATATATGTCCCTGTTCTTGAGTCCTTCATAATGTAACAACAACAAAAAACTTCTCCATCCCCATTTGAAAAGTCTAATGATTAGACCAAGCTACCTAACAATATGGTTTGTAGACGTTCGATTTCCTGTGGAAATGTATCTTTATGTTCTCTCTACCTGTCCATTATCTTCAGCTCATTGTCGATATCTACTCCTGTCGCTCTAGACAACTGGGAGAGCCCCAGCAGGTCTCCTAGGTAAGGCTCTCTTGGGAAGCGCCAACGATCGTTTAGGCCACTGATTCTACGGTCCAACCTTGGTGGATGCTGAGTTGAGTACCCAAAGAAAGAAACAGAAAATCTTATTGGCTCTCTTTCATTGTTTAGGGTTTCTGACTTGTTTCTGTCATTGTTAAAATATTAATTCTTACAAATATTTATCTCTTGAAAATTAAGGCTTCCTTAAAAACAAGTGCCCATCAAGTGGGGCAATGAATTGCCCAAATTGTGGTACATGGATGTAATGAAATACTACTGTACCTTAAAAAACGACAGCTACAGAAAATTTAGAAGAACATGGGAAAACACATGAACTTATACAGAGTGGAATAAGGAAAATCAATGGAATAATATAAGCAATGATTAAAATCATGCAAAAGGACAACAAAATACAATGTAATCGTGTATAATAGTACAACAACTAAATTTGGTTCCACAGGAGAGTTAAGAAAATGTATCTACCTCACTTCATTACAGAGGTGAAAGACTACTGTCAAACATGATTGATGCATTGGCTGTTCTTTTTCTTCTGCACTGTTTTTTCTTTTCTTTTTATTTCTTTTTTAATCATTGTTAACAAGAGAAGGCTTGCAGGGAAAGGTGGCAGGGATATATTTGGAAAAGAATGTGATGTAAAAACAAAAAGGATCTATCTAAAAAAACCCCTTTAACTCTTAAGGAAGAAAACAATACCATGCATTTTTACCTTAAAATAAATGGTAAATTACCTTTAAAAAAAAAGTAAAGGTTCTGTAGTCAGAGGACAGATGCCTAATTTAAGCTCCAAAGTAACATGGATCCCATAATCTAGATTAAGAGCATCTTTAGGTAAAAGGTCAGAAAGAGGATAGCTACATAAGCTAGAAAAGATATATATTTTTAGTAGAAGTTTATAAAAATTGGCTTTCTAAAGATAGGATTATCTGTCTAGAAAACATTGTGGGAAGTAACTAACTTTGAGTAGGACCTGAAGCCAACATCCTGGTGAGATTTGGACCCAAATGTTCCTTCTGCAAATCACACGTTTTCTGGGTCACAATTTCCTGGGGCACTAGTCTACATACTTTTTATATATTTTGACTAGGTAAAAGAGGCCATTTTCTTCCTCATTCTTTACCTATCCTTAATCACTGAATGGGTGTTGCCTCAGTCAGACTGAGACCTGGGAAAGACCTTAGCTTAAAAAGCCCAAGGTCTTCCACTGCATCAGGGGCCATCTCCTGTCATCCTGATCTATATCTTGCCCCTGGACCCAGAAGGCTCTGGATGAGAAAATGAGGCTGGTGACTTTGCACAGCCTTTCCTCACTTAAATCCAATTCACTTGCATGTCATGGCATCACCTCCCTGATGTCATGGTCCTCTTTGAGAACAAAGGACAGACAACATCAACAGTCTACATACCTGGCTCAACATTTTCTCTACTGATGTGATTTTCTCAAAGTGTTATGAAAGAGTCCGGACAAGCACCTGAAAGATGGAAGAGAGGCAAAGGTGAAACAAAATTCCCAAGGCTTTCTTTGCGTGGATTCTGTTTGCTATGAGTTCTCTCCCAGAGCTAGTTAGAGATATCTACATGAACTGTTCCAAGTGGAATAATGAGAATAACTAAAATTAAGTGCATGTGTCTAGTAGATGCGTTCTTCAGATGAGAAAGCTAAAGCATTGCAATTTGCCTATGGTCAGAGCTTTAGTGAAATCTGGACATAGGGCAAGGGTAAGCAGACGAGAGGGGTCAAGTGACTTGCCTCAAGTCACACAGATAGCATTTAAGCCCAGTTCCATATGATAAGACCAGAATGCTTTCCTTTCTTCTGGGTTACACTACCTCCTCATATGAGAAAAGATCAATGATGCGTTGTTCCTACTTTGTCTTCTTTTCTTTTTCTTTATCTTCTAAAGATGCCGGTTTCACTTTAAAATACAATTTCAAAAAGCCAGCCCATGTCTGGCTCAAGAATCAGCGATGGAGAATAATGTTTTAAAAATCCAGAGCATTTTTCTGACATTCTGATTGTTCTGATTTTCTCTGAAACGGAATAACACCACCAAGTGAGACTTACCACTGGCAAGCTCTAGAATCCTTGGGGCTGAAGTCAGTGAATTGGGGTGAAAGTGGAAGCTGGCATAGTGTTGGTATTTAAGAATGTGCTTTCAGAGATGTTGGATCTTAGGCAAAGGATGGTCCACTTTCTGAGTCTGTTTTTTGCAGCAGGCTCATGACAACCGGAGGGCCTTTCGTTGTTTGCCCACTTCAGTTTCTTGGAGGTGAGAGCTAGCCTCTCTGGTTCCCTGGGAGGCAGTTGTGGTCTCCCTGGAGACAGCAGAGAAGGTTCCAAGCAGTTCCTGTCCTGGGTTCAGGTGAAGCTGGCTTCCTATGCTCACTAACACAGCAGCCCACTGGACTCTTGGGAGAAGTGACCTAAGATGACATCTTGGCCTGAGACAAGTGGATGCTTCCTATAAAGACTGCTAATGTGGGAGTTCTCCCCTCAGGTATCCATTCTGACAACCTCCAGATTGAGGCTGAATGACATCTCCTATCCCAATCGATAGCTTAGGATACTACCTGTGATACAGAGGGGAGCTCTAAAGAGTACTAAATGTTTGAGGAATTTGAACTCTGTCTCTGGCCATAAAAAGAACACATTGACAGTAACATTCATATAAGGTATTTTCCAGCTTACAAAGATCCTTCCAATGCAATCTAATCTAAGAAGCATTTTTTTCTAAAAAGCACCTACTATGTTACTTGACGGTAGGGGTTATTTCATTGTCGTCTTTGTACACCTAACACCCACAACAGTGTTTGGCACATAGTAAGTACTTAATAAATGCTCGTTGATTGGTTGGTGGCAAAGCACTGGGGATGCAAACAACCCCATGGGATTGGTGGCTCAAGTATTATTGTTACCTCCATTTTACAAAGGAGGTAACTGAAGTTTAGAGAAGTTAAGGTAGGTGGTGCAGTGGATAGAAGGCTGGGCCTGGAATCAGGAAAACCTGAGTTCAAATCGGCTTCAGATGATTCCTAGCCATGTGACCCTGGGCAAGTCACTTAACCTCTGTCTACCTCAGTTTCCTCAAGTGTAAAAGGAAGATAATAATAGCACCAACCTCCCAGGGTCGTTGTGAGGATGAGATAATATTTGTAAGGCAACTTAGCACAGTGACTGACACATAGTAAACATTTAATAAATGCTTGTTTTCTTCCTTAAGTGACTTGTTTAGGGTCACACAGATAATAAAATACATAGTTTCATAGATTTGGATCTTGAAAGTGGATCTAGTCTAACCGATCTTTCTCCTTCCCCACATACATCCCTTATGGCAGGTTGAGGGATTTACGTAAGAGTTCACAGGTATTAAAAGGTAGGACCAGGCATAGGACTCAAGTTTTCTGACTCCAAGACCAATATTTTCCATGATACCAAACTGCTTTTCACTAGAAAGAGTGGGACTTCAAGAAAGAGTGGGAGATTGAAAGAAAAAAGCAAATAAGACTGCAAGCCTTGATCTCATATCACTATAAGGATAAATCAAGGAAGGGTTTTAGATAAGAGATGAGAAAATGAGGCCTATTGGATACCTTGAACTGGATGTCCTGTAGAAATCTCAAACTCAACACATCCCAAACTGAACTCACTGGTTTCCCCCCAAATCTTCCCTTCTTCTTGACTTCTCTGTCATTGTCAAGGGGACCGCCATGCTCCCAGTCACCCAGGCTTACAAATTAGGGGTCATCCTCAGATCTCTCACTCCCCATATCCAATGTGCCCCAATCCTGTCCATTCTCCTTTCCCAACATCTCCCAGACAGTCTCTTCTCTCCTCCGACACTGAAATCCGTCCTGCTGCAATAGCCTTTGGTTTTCCCTCTTGTCTTGCCTCTCCCTGATCCAGCCCATCTTCTACTCAGCTATCAAAAGGATCCTCCTGAAGTGCAGGTCTGATCCTGTCAGTCACTTATTCAATAAACTCCAAACGGCTCCCCAGTTAGCTCCAAAATCAGATATAAAGTACTTTGTTTGGCTTCTAAGGTCCTTCATAATCTGGGTGCTTCCTAGTCCATTCCTTTTAGTTTTGTTCAGTCATTTCAATCATTTCAGTCACGTCTGATTCTCCGTGACCCCAGTCAGGTTTTCTTAGCAAAGATACTGGAGTGGTTTGCCATTTTCTTCTCCAGCTCATTTTAATAGATGAGGAAACTGAGGCAAACAGGGTTAAGGGACTTAACCCAGGGTCACATAGCTAGTAAATACCTGAGGCCAGATTTGAACTTGGGAAGATGAGTTTACACCACCTAGCTACCCAGTCCATTCCTTAATTTAAAAATTTTAAATAAAATTTTTAAAAATTCTATTGAAAATGTAATTGAAAATTTTAAATTACAATTTAAATCCTGAAAATTTTAAATTAAATATAAATTTTAAAATTAATTTTTAAAAATTAAAATTTTAATTCAAAATTTAAGAATTAAAATAATTTCACATTTTTAAATTTAAGTTTTTAAAATTTAAATTTATAAATGTTTGTATTTAATTTAAAATTTTATTAATTTTTTGAAATTTTAATTTATTTTTTGTTTTCAACATTCACTTCCATAAGCTTCTCAGTTTTTATTTTTTCCCCCTTTCTCCCAAGATGGCATGCAATCTGATATAGGCTTTATATAAACATTCATATGAAACATATTTTCACATTAGTCATGTTGTAAAGAAGTATTAGAACTAATGGGAGGAACCATGAGAAAGAAGAAACAAACAACAAAAACAACAAAAGAAAAAAAGAGATCAAATAGTATGTTTTGATCTGCATTCAGATTCCAAAGTTCTTTCTCTGGAGGTGGATAGCATTTTCTATCATGAGTCTTTTGGGCGTGTCTTAGATCCTTGCATTGATGAGAAGAGTGAAGTCTATCAAAGTCGGTCATCACACAACATGACTGTTACTGTGTACAAGGTTCTCCTGGTTCTGCTCACTTCACTCAGCATCAGTTCATGTAAGTCCTTCCAGGTTTTTCTGAAGTCTGCCTGCTCATCATTTCTTAGAGCACAATAGCATTCCATCACATTCATATACCACAACTTGTTCAGCCATGCCCCAGTTGATGGGCATCCCTTCCATTTCCAATTCTTGGCCACCAGTCTTCTTACACCTTATTCCCCTTCACATACTCTGTGATCCAGTGACACTGGCCTCCTTGCTCTTCTTCACGCAAAATAACTCTGAATTTTCACTACCTTTCCTCCAATCCTGGAATATTCTCCTTCCTTAACTCTACCTCCTGATGTCTCTGGCTTCCTTCAGTTCTCAGTTAAAATCTCATCTTCTGAGGCAGCTAGGTGGCACAGTGGATACAGCACCAGTCCTGAGTTCAGATATGACCTCAGATTGAACACTTGACACTTATTATCTGTGTGACCCTGGGCAAGTCAGTTAACCCTAATTGCCTAAAAATGAAAAAAAAAACCCTCATCTTCTGTAAGAAGTCTTTTTTGATCCCCTTTAATGCTAGTGCCTGCCCTCTCTGATTATCTCCACTTTATTCTATCTGTTTACATGTGGTTCCTCCCATTAGATTACAAACCCCCTGAGGGCAGGAAATGGTTTTGCCTTTGTGTCTCCAGCATTTAGTATGGTACTTGACACCTAGTAGGCACTTAATACATGGGATTGACTTGATTACCTGCCAGTACTTTAGTATATAAGACCAACATTAACTAATTAGCCCTATATATTTCCTCTTTTTTATTTTAAATCTTGTGCATTTTCCTGTTATTATTATAATAATAATAATTAATGGTTTTTATCCACTCTCCTGGGGATGAAGAACTGGTCTTAGAGGCAGAAACTTGGGTTGAAAGCAGGGCCAGAAGAGTGCTGCAGTATAATTCAGCCTCTCCAACCACGTGGAGTGCGAAACCAAAGGCCAGTGATGAGAGAGAGAAGTATTGCAGAATACAAATGAACCATAGAACATAACCCAAGGGCCTGATACATATTGAACACAATAGCACCCCCTGCTGGCTACTCGGTGAGTCAAGGAGATGAGAGAACAGAAACTATTCCTAAGGCTGTAGAGTTTTAAAGATGAAACGGACCATAGAGGTTATGAGGCAAAACCCCCTCAGTTTCATAGAAGAGTCAAAAGAAGCCCATGGGGGCCCAGCGCCCCTAATTACAATTCTTTTACACTGTAAGGACTGGACCCTCTAATAATTGAACTTGCCGACAGTTGGAGATCTGGTAGTGGCCAGAATTGTGAGGCAAAACGGTCTCCTGACCCTTGGATTAGTAGTCTGAATTTCTCCGAGCACCTGACATGGCGTTCAGCGCGCAGCGGGCCCTCAATAAGTATCCGTCGAATACAAAATGTTTGTTGAATGAATGAGGCCCCTTTATCTCCACAGCTGCAGGGGTGTCTGGTAGAGTTCCTAAGTTGTACTGCAGGATATCAAGCTCAAAACCAGGCCATTGTTGGGGAGATCTGTCCATGAGCAGCAGGCCAACTGAGGGTGGGGGACTGTGAAAAGAGAGAAGGAAATCATGGCAAGATAAATACAACACAGACATGCAAGGATGAGCAAGATGTGGTTACAGGTATAAGGGAGCCCTGGCAGGTTAGGCCTGTTTGCCCACGGGAGCCCATTATGAGAGCTACTCTGAAGAATGGGTTCTGCCTAAGCTCCCCTACAAGTCTTGGAAGGACCCACATCTCTTGTGGCTGGACCCCCATACAAATCTAGACGTCAGGTCAGGGGTGCCCAATCTTTTCCTTTTTGGGAGAGAGCGGAAAGAGAGTTGCCTTTTCTTATTTTAAAATAATATTTTCTATTATGAACTTAATCAACATCAACAAACATGAGCACTTCGTATACAAAGAAAAACAAAAGGAAAGGAATTGAATGTGCAATTATGAACTTCTGTTATATATAGTTTGGTTTTTCTCTACTATGTTTAGTTTTTTAAAATTCAAATATAACATGGTATTTCCAACACTGCCTGCTGGTCTCTTCCGTTGATTTTTAAATAAACAGAGGTGAAGGAAGAGAAGGGAAAAAGCATTTATTAAGCACCTATTATGTGTGAGTGCTTTACAAATGTTCCCTCATTTGAGACTCACAGCAGCTACCCTGGGAGGATTATTATCCCCATTTTGCAGCCGAGGAAACTGAGTCAAATAGAGATTAAATGGCTTGCCCAGGGTCACACTGCTAGTAAATATCTAAGGTTAGATTTGAACATAGGTCTTCCTGACTCCAGGCCTATCCACTGCACCATCTAGCTGCCGTTCACAATGCCATTGCTGCCAATCACACCATTT